TTTCTGTGGCTAAATGGAGCCCAAGCCTTTTATTAGGGAAATTGGAGCAGGTGCTTTGTGACTTCTCAGTACACCACAGTAAATATTTGCTGTTAATTCATGGAATAACCACAAAAAAACTTTACCAAAGCTTAAACTGACAAAGGGCTTAATTCTAATATCCCTTATTTTCTTCTGGCATCAAAGTTATTCTGGAGTCGCACTGGTGGAAATTAGATCAGAATCAGGCCCACACAGTACATGTGAATGAAACTTTGGCACACACAGGGACTAATAATTTGGCTCAGATAACCAAAAACCACCTTCTTGTTCCTGGACATCACGGTGCATGGATCTCTGGCATAAAACATGTTGGCACAAAATGAACAAATGTAACCATAGTGTTTAATATGGGGCTAGTTTCAGTTGTGCTGAAGACCCTATATTTTCCCCTGTCAGAAAGAAAGATACTCATTGCTCTAAAAAAAAAAAAAAAAAAAAGTCCTGTCATAAATGGTTTGATGATTTCTCTGCCTGGGTGTTAATTATATGTACTCCTGGCAATAGTCTATTAACTCCCACTCAGTGCAGCAAGAGTTCTGACTTTGAGTGATAAGCATACCGCTATATTAGGAATGTTGATCAAAACCACCTCTTTTCCATCTACTTGGGCTTTAACTTTCAAGGGTACATATTGTACTAGCACTGCTGATTATAAAAATATAATTGTGTCCTCCAAAATAAACTTTAAAAAGACCAAAATTGTGATGTGTTCATTTGTGTTTCACTCTTCATAGTAATCAAAACCCTACTGTGTGGTCATTTTTACATGCAGAACTCCCAGCAAATGAAAAGAAGAGTATTAAGCAGGAGTTCTATGCAGGCAACAGCTACTGGATTGGGTATATGGGATGAATGATGGTACATATAAAAGAAAACTAATGCCTGAAATATATATTAACATTAATAAACAAAAAGTTTGAATAAAATATTTAACATTATCAAAACTAGATTCTTCATATTTAATTAACTTAACATACTGTCTTTACCTACTGCCTAATGAAGAGAGATGTCAACAATAATATTTGAGATGACATTTTCTATTATTAACTTTTTATTAAACCAATGAAATTATCAGTGAACTATGGTCAATGATTTCATAAGAGTTAAAGTAAAATGTGAGACTATCAGAAACTAATATATTCATAAAAATACTTTACCGATAAGTTGCTCTCTAAGGCCTTGAATTAGCAAAGCACTTAAGCACACGCTTAACCTTAAGCTCATGACTTCAAAATGAATGAAACAGAATCCGTAGGATCATTCAGCGCCTAGAAGGATTGGGGTGGCACCAAAATGTGTGAGGACTTAAAGACTGAATCTGCAGTGACAACCATTTCCATGACTAAATGTGAGAGGATTCAGCACCATGAACACCACCATCCTTCCTGGTTACTTCAGCCCCTCTGCTGTAAGACTGTCTGCACTGGTGTTTGTGAACCTCACTGGGCCAGAAAGTTTGATCCAGGGACATACAGTTTCTCAGTGAACACTGGAAAGCTGATGTCACTGCAACATTGTACGCAAGAGAGAAGAGGGACAATCCTATTATGAAGATCTCTCTCTCATTTTGGCATCTGCCTCATTTTGACATGTCTCTCTAAAAGTTATTTGTTTTAAAGAAGTTCCTGCTGGAGACTATGCAGACCTTTGGGACTGAAAAAAATGGACATAGTGACATTCCTGTGAGCCACAAAGGGACTTTAATATACAAGGTTTTCAACTCACTTCACCAGTATTCTGTAACCTAAATTGTGGGGCCTCATTAGTGACACTTTTGTAGCGATAACTGACTTAGTATAATTTTTCTTTGTGATTCTATTTTCTATACTATGACAATCAAAAGTTGTCTTTATTTAAGCTAACTGAAACCGGATGTGAAGACTGGTAAATTGGAGATACTTGTTGGTAGACACCTTGAAGAGAATAAATCTGAATTTTGACTTCAGAGGAGGCTGAGTAAGTAAGAGTAGGATAATACAATTGCTCTCTCCAAATAACATTTGAAGAGGGACTGATAAAAGCCACCAGAGACCTGTGGCTGAGAGAGCCAAATAAGCTTGCAGCGTGCTAAAGCCAATTACATTTACCAAAGCTGGTATCTAACCCCGGTAGGTGTTTTTGCTTGTATTTAAGTGTTGGGCATAGAAGTATACTAAAAGTTTAAGCAAAACCAAGGATGTTAGCTCAGTGGCTCTGGTGACATGCCATAAGAAGTAGATGGGGCTGCACAAAGAACACTAAGTTTTCTCAAACTGCAGATTCTTTCTGCATAACACCTAAGACAGCCTTTCCTAGCCATCCACACTGCGAAAATTTGTCTCATCATCTTGTGTCTTGATTACTTGACAAATGCAATCTTGCCCTGCTCATATCCGTTCACAATGCTGCTGCAAAGATCATTTTTCTAGCCTGTTGCTTTGACCAAGTCTCTCCACTGATGCCTTTTCTCTATCGCATCAAACATAAGTGACTTGACTTCATTTTAAAGGCCCTTCACAGCCTACCTCCACTCTACCCTTATTTTGCATTTGTTATCAAGATATCAACTCCTACCTCTGATCGGCCAGAAGTGCCAACCTCCAAGCTCAAGCACCTTCATGCTTTTCTCCCATGCTGCCCCTCACGCTTGGGAGATTCTCCCCATAAACATCCACAAAGAGACCTCAATATCCTCCACATTTTTCCTAAAACTTTCCTTTACGATGATGCCTACCAAGAACTTGACAAGGGTTAGGCTGCTGGTGTGCTGAGAACACTGCCTATCATGATGACCAGTACGGTCTCATTATTTCCTTGTGCTCCCTATCAGTCTATCTCCATCTATTGTCTCGTGTCTTATACTTAGATTGTAAGATCTTTAGGGCAGGGACTGTCCTTTTGTTCTGTACAGCACCTAGCACAGTGGGATCCTGGTCTATGACTGGGGCTCCTAGGGACCATGGTAATACAAAGAAAAAATGATAGTTTGATTCTGTACTGTATTGAGAGTTTTATTAAACTAAGGGCCTGATCCAAAGTCTATTGAGTCAACTGTAATAATCCCATTGAATTCAATAGGCTTTGGATTAAGTCCTCAGTGAATACAGTATTTTCTTTCTGGGTACTAAGGGGAAAGTAAGTGAATATACAGTAACTTGGGCTTTAGCCTACTAAGTGAAGTTTCAGTTAAATAAACATCTCACTTTACTTAAAACGTGTCTTTGGCTGATAAAGTCTGATTTAGGGTTGATGTACACACAAATTGCTGATTTAACTAAATCAATTACTGAATTAAACTAAATCAACATCCAGTCAAACTAATCTAAGCTCCCAATACTTCTGTTAGTCTTAAAGGTGCCACAGGACCCTCTGTTGCTAATTTAAGAGAGTGACCACATGAAGACTGCACTGATTTTTATCAATTTACAAACCCCCTTTAGTTAAATCAGTGTAATATGAGGAGGTAAACTGGGTCTTTATTATAATAAAAAGTACATTGACTCTTTGGGAACTATAGGGACAACTTTAGCGCTCTTCATGCACTTATATGCCTATTAAATTTTCTGGGTCATGAGTAAGGCTGTGAGTTTATCACGGAGGTCACAGATTCCGTGACTTTCCGTGACCTCTGATTTCTGCAGCAGCTGGTGCTGGTTCAGGGGATGTCCGAGCCGGGCAGCCCCTGGGCCAGCAGCAGCAGTTTGGGTGTGTGGGAATGGGCTCAGAGCTAGGGGCAGGAGATTGGGGAGTGGGGGAAGAGCTAATCTCAGGATGGGGGGCTCCCACTGGCATGGCCCTGCAGCTAGTAGGTGGCGGAGGGGCTGGGGGAGACTGCACCATGTGCTGCCTGCGCCTGCAGGCCCCGTCCCCACAGCTCCCCTTGGCTGCGGTTCTCGGCCAATGGGAGCTGCGACAGCTGGTGCTTGTGCCCCTCCACCACCTAGGAGCTGCAGAGATGTGGAGCCAGGTAGGAAGCCCCTGCCAGCCCCGCCAAACCTCCCCTCGCTTCTCCCCCGCACCCCCCAACAGAAGTGGGAATCCCAGGCCACGCACTGCGGCCCAGCCATCCTCCCCAGCACCCACGGCTCCCCCCCACCAAGTTTTAGTCACAGGTATTTTTAGTCAAAATCACAGACAGGTCACAGGCCATGAATTTTTGTTTATTGCCTGTGACCTGACCATGACTTTTACTAAAAATACTCGTGACTAAAACGTAGCCTTATTCATGAGTAGACTTGGGAGGATAATAAAGCATTGGTCTTTCATCAACAGAAAAACGGTTCCATTAAAATTATAAACACATGCAAAATGATTTCTAAAGATTTTTAAAAGTTTTCTATGAAGCCTCAAATAAAGCCACGAGAGAGAGTTCTGACAAATTTTTTTTAAAGTGCCACCTTTTCAACAGAAGCATTTATATTTTTTAAAGGGAAACATTTTGAGCAAGAGTGACTAGTCTGTTGGATTCTTTTTGTTCTGCCTCTTTTGACAGGTACAAATTAGCTGTTCTCTGTGAAAACTTAAGACTTCCCCAAACAAAGCTATGAAGCTGTCCCGCCACTTCTCTCTTTCATGAGGAAACTGGTAAGTATTACCAGAAGAGTGACTTTATTATGATTTAAAAAGAAAAAAAAATCTGAACTCAGTTGTGTGAATTTACTGCTCTGGTTTGGTTCACTATAGAGAGATGTTTGAGTGATGAGAAGCAGGTTGGGATCCATATCCAAAAACTTGCCAGAAGGGGATCAAAAACTGGGCAGGGGATCAATATTCCATTTGGGCCGTTATATTTAGAGTTAACACCATTGATTCTACAATAACAGTGTAAAGCAAGGGAGGGGGGGACATTGTGCTGCTGTTTCTTCCAGTTGAGAACGTGACTCAAGCTCTGCTGTTTTCCTCACCTCCCAACCCCATCCCCTGTCTCTCCAGTATCTATACATCTTCCTCCAAGCAGTTCAACCCATCTTGTCACTTACTTATTTCTTCTGTGGGCAGAGCAGACCTTCTCCCTCTGCTTCTGCCTGCATTCCAGCCTCTCTCTTCATCACCTTCACCTGCCTCAGAATCAGGCAGCCTGATTTCCTGACAATGACAGACAAGGTTAGAGCAGGGAAAGCAGCTCCAAATACTCAGCCCCTCCTCATCCTAGCAACAAGAGCAGGACTCAGAGGGCACTGCAACTCACCTGCCTGGCAGCAGCTGCTGATAACTGCAAGGAAGAAGAGGATACAGTACCCTCTTTACTCTCATCCTGGGAGTGGGGTAGCGGAGCTCTTGCCTGGACTCTGTAGATCAGCTCGCTGCGGAGAGTTGCTAGTTCTGCTTTAAGTGTGAGAACGTGGTAAAGACACACTGCTGCAAGAGAAGAGGACAGGAGCGTTGCAAGCCACAGGAATGTGACCGAGAGGAGTCCTTTCCTGCCCAAACCAGCACCAGGGAGAGTAGGAGGAGAGGAGGAGATACCCCTCTGTTGGATGACGTGCACACAGTCCACGGATTTCATCTCTGCTCTTTCCTTACTAAAGGCAGAGGGAACATTCAGCTCTGTCTCCTTCTGGGGTGTAATCCATTTTGCCTGTTGCTGGCTGAAACTAAGAAATATCTGACCAAAACGCTCAGATCATTTCCTGTCATATGGAGCTGGTTATACAAACATTAAGTTTAATGTACAGAGTAAGTGTCTAAGATGCAGGCTCCCTTAGCTTTCTTCTTACTGCTCTGCATCTTGGCAAATTATTACTCTCTCTTCAGCTGCTTGCTCAATCTACCTTCCTCATTTCACTTTCAGCTATTTACTTTTTATGGCAACTTGCCCATTACCATCTCCTGTTATCTTTGTACCCAGACATGATTAAAACATCGGATACTATTTGTATCCTGAATCTTCGGAAATAGTGCAGAAGAGATGTAAGACTCCCTGCCAAAGTATTGTATCCTGTCGCAACCTAACACATAATACGGTCTCTAAAAATAGAAATATACAGTCGTTCTCAAGAAAACGGAATGTATGTCAGTGCATGGACTGACAGACTTTCTATCATTATCCTGTATCCTAAAAACAGAAAAAAGTTTTCCAAGTACAGGGAGCAGAGTACAGGAAGCAGAGCATTTCATTTCTTTGACTGTGTGAAGTTGCAGGCTCAATGGAGGGCCAGATGTTCCCCCAGAATTTGAGAACAACTTTTAATTACAATTTGTTTAATAAATTTGCCGATTCTGCTGCAGAGTTCAAGCATTTGGATGTGGGATTAGCCAAGGATTGATACAAAGGGGATGGTAGAAAGGAAGTGTATGGAGAATTCCAAAAAGAGGAATAACTTTTTCCACCATGCATGCACTTTAGAAGGCAAAGATAATTCATGGAATTGAAACCTGTCTGCTTAATTTTACTTTGTAAACCTGTGTGCTTGGCTTTGGGCTCATCTCTTCCTATGGTCCTATTAATCCCTGCATCCCTCTGAACTTTTTGACAGAATCTTAAAATAGGGGTGAGGGGAATCTAACTACAGCAGAACCTCAGAGTTACAAACTGACCAGTCAACCACACACCTCATTTGGAACCAGAAGTATATAATCGGGCATTAGCAGAGCTTCCCCTTCCCCCCCCCCCCAAAAAGCAAATACAGTTCAGTACTGTATTAAACAAACTACTAAAGCATAAAGGGAAAGCAGCATTTTTCTTCTCCATAATAGTTTCAAAGCTGTATTAAGTCAATGTTCAGTTGTAAACTTTTGAAAAAAAATCCGTAACGTTTTGTTCAGAGTTACGAATATTTCAGAATTATGAACAACCTCCATTCCTGAGGTGTACATAACTGAAGTTCTATTGTAATTTACTCTTGCCATCCCTTGCTTAATTCAGCTAGAACAGAACGTTGCAGTACATCCCTTTAAGCAACACAGACGACCATGAAAATGTCAGACGTGTCCACCACACTCTGCATTGACTTCCCATAAAAGCTAAATTCAAGGTCTCAGTCCTCATCTTCAAAGCACTCAACAGTCTGGGCCCATGACATCTAAGAGATCATCCGATGCTCCAGGATGAGGACTGTGGTAAACAGGAATAATGGAACTTTTTACTACAAGGGTAAAACTTGTCTGTGTAAGAAACAGGTTCTTGGGGATGGTCTCAGACTGTGGAATAAACTCCTTCAGGAACGAAGGAGTATCATAAACCTCACACCTTCTCACTTTAAGTGCAATGTATACTTTTTCAACCTTGCCTTTTCTAACAAATATGTAACAGCATATACCACAAGCACTACACTGCACACACAAATTCTCCCCCTGGGGAGAGAATGAGAAAGAACCACACATGAAAGATGTCATCCATCTCACTTACTGTATTACTGGAAGGTGCTCAGATATTATAGTGATTAGGGCAGTTTGAGAACCTATGTAGAACAGAATCCCATGATCTCCCCTCCAATGAAATTCAGAGTAATTTTAGTTGCTATATATTTTATGGGTTGTGTACTTTAATGATTATATATTATCTGATAAGTGTATTTATTTGGCACATAAACAGGAATTATAATTTGTATTACATAGTATCTAGAGGCCTCAGTTGTGTAGGGTCCCATTGTTCTAGCTATTGCATGTACATATAAGAGACAGTCCCTGCTTTGAAGTGTTTGCAGTCTAAATAAACAGGACAGCCACAGGGAGGACAATGGAAGAGTAGTAAGTAGTAACCCAAGATTAAAAAAAAAAAAAAAAAAAAATGACCAAAGAGCTCTCTGAATCACTAATGTTTATTGTTAACAAATTTGCAAAACACAGAGGAAATTCCAGAGGACTGGAAAAAAGATAATGTGCCAATATTTTAAAAAGGTAAATGGGATAACCTGTGAAACTTTAGGCCAAGGGTCGGCAACGTTTGGCACGCAGCTCGCCAGGGTAAGCACCCTGGCGGGCCGGGCCAGTTTATTTACCTGCTGACATGGCAAGTTCGGCCGATAGCGGCCCCCATTGGCCGCGGTTCGCCGTCCCGGGCCAATGGGGGCGGCGAGAAGCGGTGCAGGCAAGGGATGTGCTGGCCGCGGTTTCCTGCCGCCTCCATTGGCAAACCGCGGTCAGTGGGGGCCACAATTAGCCGAACCTGCCGCGTCAGTAGGTAAATAAACTGGCCCGGCCCGCCAGGGTGCTTACCCTGGCGAGCCGCGTGCCAAACGTTGCCGACCCCTGCTTTAGGCTGATTAGGCTGACATCGATGCCATGCAAATTCATGAAAAGGCCAAATATGGGAAGCTATTGGTAATGAATTAAAATGACAATAGCATAATCAATTACATTAACAGGTTTATGCAAAATAGATCTTGTCACACAAACATTTTTTGGTGAGATCACAAGTTTAGATGCTAAAAGTAACTGTGATGACTTCTGTAAAGCATTTGACGTAACCCTGCATGACATTCTGATAAAGTTAGCACTATACAAAATCATATTAATGGACTAAAAGTTGGTTAACATAGATCCCAAAAAGTAATTGTAAATGGGAAATTGTCATCCAATGGGGTTGTGTCTAGCAGAGTCTTAAAAGCAAGCTGCTCGACTCACTAATAATCAATTTTTATAACTGATGTGGAAGAAAACAAAATAATTGCTGGTAAAATTTCCAAATTACACTAAAATTGGTAGCGTGATAAATTAAGATGGGCACAGGTCATTTATACAGACTAATCTGGATCACTTGGTAAGGTGGGTTCATCTGAACGTGTATTTTAAAACACAAATAAATGCAAGGATATGTAGGAACAAAGAATGTAGGTCAGATGGGGGCTATCTCCTGGAAAGCAGTAACTATGAAAAGGAGGGGTCATGGCAAATAATTAAGGCTAAGATTTAGTCACGGGTATTTTTGGTAAAAGTCATGGACAGGACAAGGGCAATAAATAAAAATTCACAGCCCATGACCTGTCCATGACTTTTACCAAAAATACCTGTGACTAAATCTCTACTTCTGGGGCCCCGCTGCTCTGGGGTACGCCTGCTCTAGTGCTGGGGGTTGACTGCCCCCCAGCCGCTGCTCCCGGGGACTGCTCTCCGGACGGCCTCCAGGCACTCCTTGGGCCACTGCTCCAGCCACCCTGGGACTGCTACTGCTTGGGAGGTCCCCAGGGCACCCCCATGACTGCTGCTTGAGCACTCCCCGGACCAGCCACACTGGCCACTGTTCCGGCGGTCCCCAGAGCCAGCTGCCTGGGACTGCCTGAGCAGTGGCTGGTGTGGCTGGCCCCGGGGCAGCTCTTAAGGCCAGCCGAGCGGGACCGCTGCATGGGCAGTCCCCAGAACCAGCCAGCACCAACTGCTGCAGAAGTCACAGAGGTCATGGAATCTGTGACTTCCGCAACCTCCATGAAAGAATTACAGCCTTACAAATAACCAACTGAACTTGAGCTCCCAATGTGATGCTGTAGCTGAAAGAGCAAATTAATCCTTGAATGTATATGCGGTGCATATCAAGTAATAGTAGGGAGGTAGTATTCTTGCTGTATATAACATTAGCAAGACCATTACTGGAATGATGTGCCACGTGCTGGTTCCACATTTAAAAAAAAAAAAATACTGAAAAATTGGAAATGGTCCAGAAAACAGCTAAAAGAATGATTAATAAATAAATTAATGGAGATATCCCATTTCCTAGAACTGGAAGGGACCTTGAAGGGTCATTGAGTCCAGCCCCCTGCCTTCACTAGCAGGACCAAGTACTGATTTTGCCCCAGATCCCTAAGTGGCCCCCTCAAGGATTGAACTCACAACGCTGGGTTTAGCAGGCCAATGCTCAAACCACTGAGCTATCCCCCCCCCCCCCCCCCCCGGATTCAAGACCTGGAAAACATGCCTTATAGTGAGATGCTAATATAGCTCAATCTATTTAGTTTAGATAAGAGAAGGTTAAGAGGTGACTTGATCATGATCTATAAATGCCTTAATTGGGAAGAGATTTCTGATAGACTGAAAAAAGCATGAGATTCAATGGTTGGAAGCATAAGTTAGACAAACTCAGACTAGAAAAAAGGCACATATTTTTAAACAGTGGGGGTAACTAGTTATGGGAACAACTCACCTAGGGATGCGATGAATTCTCCGTCACTTGATCTCTTTCTAAGAGATATGCTGTAGTTCAAACAGAAGTTGCAGGCTTGATGACAAAATTACAGGGTGAGGGTATTTTGGCCTGCGTCATGCAAAAGGTCAGACTAGATGACCATAATGGCCCTTCTAACCTAAAAATCTACTAAGTATTATTATATCCATTAAACAAATGGGGAACCAAGGCACAGAGAGATTTACATGCCCAAGGTCCGACAGGAAGTCTGTGGTTGAGTCAGGAACTGAACCCTTGATTTCTTGAGTTCCAGTCCAGTGCCCTAACCACAAAAGCATCCTTCCTCTTTAAGGAATGAAAATTATTTCTCACAAAGAAGTTTTTAAAAAGCACATAAGACTACAAGTCTCATGAATAAGGTCAGAGGAATAAATATTTAAGAGATGGCCAAGGGATAAATTCAAATAATTTAAAACAAAATCTCATGGTTTAAAAAGTTAGGGCAAATCCTTGGATGCCACTATGCAGAATCTCTGTCCACCGAAGACTGTGGTCTATGCTATAGGTGTA